TGGGCTCATTAGAAGTGCATCTAACTGGTCTTAGCCAAGCAGTTGAGACAACAGCATCTAAATCTATTTGTGTGGGTTCAAAACCTGCTAAAGATGAATTTTCCAAGTGATCATTAGAGTCAAAATCAATTTCTCTTGGACGGTGCAGGTTTGAAACCTGCTGATGATAAAATTTGTTTTCTATGAAAACACACCTTAAAAATTACTTGTGGACGGTTTGCTTGCAAGCTAATCATAGTTGTGTTTAGCCAAGTGGCTGCCATAACAGAATCCAAATCTGTTTCCATCAGAGTGTAACAAGTTTGAAACTTGTCCAATGTCACATTTTTTCTCCAAGAACATTTCTTGAATATTTGCTCATAGACAGCATCTCAGATATTGATCTTTATTGATCCAATAACAACATTTTTATTGTATGAAATCCAAAATGGTGGAATGTGATGAATCACAGGTTAATGCAAAAGACACATCATTAAACAGATTACAAACCTGCTTAGTTCAAGAGAAATATATTTTGACTCTGGCAATCACTTGAATAAGCACAATAAAGAATCTCAGCCTTAATATATTTGTATTCTTTCTAATTCCTCAGGTCATTAGGATCAAACTTGAAAGTTCAATATGTAATCTGCTTTTTTTCCTCTCAAGACCTTTAGAAAGAATTATATTATTATTATACTCATCCTTCTGAGTTCGCATCAGGACTTTGGTCATATATTGAACTCTGTGTCAAAAATACACTGTGTGATCCTTTCATTGTCATTTTTCACTCATGGACCCACCGTGGTGGTCTTCCATTAGCACTTTTCTAGGGAAATTGTTAGATAAACAGGTCTTGAAGTCAAGAGCCCCAGCAAGAGTCTGTGTCTTTTGCAATAAGAGTAGGATAAAAAATCAACAGTAACCATGCTATTGAAAGAGCTGACAAAATGCAGATAAATGTACCTTAAGGACTTGCTTCTGAATGGATTTGTTAGGAGATGAATCTAACTGGTTTTAGCCAAGTAGTTGATATAACAGAATCTAAATTTGCCTGCATGGGTTCAAAACCTGCTAAAGATGAAATTTTCAAGTGATCACCAGAGTCAAAATTTGTTTCTCTTAAATGGTGCAGGTTTGAAACCTGCTAATGATAATATTTTTATTTTTATTCTATGAAAGCACACCTTGACACATGCTTATGGTCGGTCAGCTTGCAAGCTGATCATAGCTATATTTAGCCAAGTGGTTATCATAACAGAATCCAAACTTATTTCTATCGGAGTGTAATAAGTTTGAAACCAGTGAAACTTTTCATTGGTCTTTAGTTAAGTTGTCACTAGAGTCAAATCTGTTTTCTCTTGTACTATGCAGGTTTGAAACCTGCTGATGATGATATTTTATTCTATGAAATCACACTCTGACATTTCTTCATGAATCATTTTTTCAAAAACAGTCTTAGCTGTGTTATTGTCCCAATAGATTCAAAATATGATTATCCTAGACTGAGCATTGAACATTTGCTTATAAATGGTTGTTATAACAGAATTAAAGTCTGTTTATCTTAGACTGTGCATACTTGAAATATGCTGAGTAATACATGTTTTTGACCTGCTCAGTACAGAAGAATCAGATTTTGACTTTGATAAATCATGAATAGAAACAAGGAAGATAAAAGTCTAAGAAACCACCCATGAGCAAATATTCAATTAAGTATGTTGCAACATGAAAAGAAATGTATCATTCAATTGGGCTCAAGGAGGATGTCATAGATTGATGTTAGAACTAAAAAAAGATGCAGATAAATGTACCTTGAGGATTCACTTCTGCATGGATTCATTGGTAGTGCATCTGACTGGTCTTAGCCAAGCAGTTGATGTGACAGAATCCAAATCTGTCTGCATGAGTTTAAAACCTGCTAAAGATGAAATTGCCAAGAGATCATCCAAGTCAAAATCTGGTTCTCTTGAATAACACAGGTTTGAAACCTGCCAATGATAATACTTTCATTTTATGAAAATACACCTTGACAGTCTGAAACCCATTGAATGCTGCATTTTTTCTAGCTTAATTGAATATTTGCTCATGGACAGTTTCTCAGACATTGATCTTCATTGGTCCTAGTTCAGTGGTTATTCAAGGCATAATGCCATCAGAAAATTGATGCCTTCTGATTCATTTTAAGATTCATGTTGAAATGTCAAGGTGTGATTTCATAGAATAAAAATAAAAATGTTATCATTGGTAAATTTTAACTCTGGTGACAACTTGACTAAGACAATGAAGATCAATATTTGAAATGCTGTCTATGAGCAGATATCAAAGACATGTTCTAATACAAAAAATGTGTCACTCAACAGGTTTTCATTCATAAGTGAATTCTAAAGGCAGTTCTTTCAATAGCATGGAGGATCACATATGATTGGACTCAAGGAGGATGTTAGAAATTAATGTTAGAACTGACAAAATGCAGATACATGTACATTGAGGATTCACTTCTGAATGAATTCATTAGAAGTGCATCTCATTGGTCTTAGTCAAGCAGTTGATGTGACAGAATCCAAATCTGTCCATGGGTTCAAAAACTGCTGAAGACAAAATCATCAAATGATTATCAGAGTCAAAATCTGTTTCTCTTGGACTGTGCAGGTTTGAAACCTGCCATTGATAGCATATTTATTTTATGAAATCACACCTTGACATTTTGTCATGAATGATATATGTTTTTTTTCCCTGTTAGAACACACCTTGATATTGACTCATGTGTATTTTCATGTTGTAGCTTGCACTCTCAAACATCTGCTTTATATGATGTTTGTTGAATGCATTTTTCTGTGTCCAAGAACATCTCAGGGCTCCATGTGATGTGGCTTCACGCCCTGAGCACAAATGCCTCAAATCATGCTTTGGGGTTGTATAGCTTTCATTCCACTACCACACAGTACAAATGCATGGAGCTTTCCACCCACTTTCTACCTAGCAGAACATAGTAGAAATCTATTTGTTTATATCTTGCATCTTTTATTCCTTGTGTCTTATCATCACTTAAGCAAACTCACTCTTACTCTCTCTCATTTCTGCATATGCACACACACTTTCCCATGCTTCACGCAATACGCGCACACACATTCCCATGCCTTGCATGCACCTGCACTTTCTCATGCTTCACATTGGCCAACCAGTAGCACTTTCAGTGCATACCTCTAGATCCTTGCTGCACTTGCTTCCCCTTTAGGGTCGAACACACTTGTCATCTCAAGTATAGCAGACTAGGCAATGCATGACCTTACAACATTTATAGATACATTCTGGAGCCTTGTTCACATCTCGCTGTATTGTTGTTTCTATAGCACTCTGAGAAAACTTCATGCTGTCCAAAAGCACTTGCTTGTCATATCCAATATATTCACACTTCTCTTCCGGACTTCGGACCCTTAGATCCAATCCAGTCTGATGCATAGATCTGCTTCCGATTCAATATACAATAAGCTTCTTAATTCATTTCCTGCTCATATAATGTTAAATACAGCCTATTCAGTATTTCCTCTTCCCAGTATCTTGGTTATACTTATTACCAGTATGCTTATAGATCCATTAACCTATGCTTCATTTCTAACTCACATTTATAAGCTTTGCATATGCTTTGTACATAGCCTTGGACCTTTGCTTATTGATCCTTCTGTTATTCTCTTAGTATATAAACTTGTGTATATGTCCTGTAGTACCTCAGTTTGAATATCATCTTAGTTTGTCCTCTTTCTGTCCTCCAGACTTGAGTCCAACAGGCATGCAAAAGGAGAATCCCGAACACAGAGCTCGCCTTTACATAAGCTAATGAACCTAACTGTACAGCCAGTCTAAGTTACGAGTGACACATTTTGAGTTGCTCGCCAGCGGCCTCGAATCATCATGAAATTGTTTGGCGAGTACCGTAAAGGGAGTGTTTTTACTACTGTAGAATATTGATTTGACGTGTCTTGTCAATGACTCGCATCTCTCTCTCCTTACACTTCATTCATTATGTATTCTACGACTCATCATTATACCCATTACAACTCATGGTTTGCTTCCACTAGTAATAACGACAACAGCACTGCATACATTACGGACCTTGAGGACAATTCTTATCAAACCATGCATTTCGGATCAGATTGTCATTCTCATGGACACTCACAGACACCAACTGTAGATTTTCAAGTACCATTACACTCAGACGATCACTTGCATAGCTCTTCTTGTAGTATACTTGACTGTACCTCACTTAATTCTCACTCTCTCAGTCGACAATCCTCGACCGACAGCCAATCTTCAAGCACGTCTTCAGTTCCAGCCTCGGTCTCAGATATCAATATCAAGGCACAATTCAAACTTAATACCCCTGAGTCCCTATATGAATTATTCAAGATCAATCAGTTACAAGTGTTGGATCAGTTCAGAGATTGATGGAAAATTCTTTGTCCTGAGTGTGGAGACTGGTGCCAGACCAGTGTCCACACAGGCCTACCTCTATGGGCTCCCAGTCAGTTCAAATCACTAACAAATAATTGAGGAAGCAAGAAGTGCGCTGCAACTGCTTCCAAAAAGCAAAAGCATGACACTCAGAAAGTCAGTGCAACAACTGGCAAGCCTCACTATCAATCAGATCGACACAGGTGCATCCATTTCGGTTGTATTTAGTTGATGCTTGTATAACATTATGTCATTTTTAGCAATGCACATGATCAGAACATTGTGTGTCCAGGCATTCCCATCAACTGGCCTGAGGACCTCCACACATTCTTCATATCCTTTCCTTGGGCACAATATCACAACCTGATGGACTACCATTCACTGTTGACATCACAGTTCCCAGACTCCCTCGTGCTCAATCAAAATCCTGTACAAGTTTCACCATTTGGGAAGACTACCCATGTGAAGAGTGCAGTGAAATTTATATGCACATCTATCGCCTTGTCGACATTGTACGTAATCCAAAGGCCCATATGAACTATCAGTATCTTGGTCTCGCACATATGTGAGACATGGTAAAAAAACACGCAGATCAAATCAATGAACTAAAGCTGCAGGTATGTTTTATTACTCTGCTTGTATGTACTGTCATTAACCCTTCCTAGGTCTGTAATGACTCCCGCAAGTATATGTATGCTCTCACTCAGTTGGACGACTTCAACCGCCTCTTGATGGCTATATCCCACAACGACATCCCCCATATTCATCAAATTGTCAATGTGGCCCTACGAAATGGTGCCAGTGTGCGTGAAGTCATTAACAAGCTTGAAGATGCTCTTGAGGGTGTCTATCGTCCTCGCGGGTATGGTGCTGATGACCTAGATATGGCCACCCTCATTTTTAGACTGGGTGGACACCAATTACTCTTTGTGCTCAATCAAAAGCTCTGTCTTCCGTCTCTTCACACCCTCTGAGCCAAGTCTACTTTCACTTCCCTTGTGCCAACAATTGGGCCCATACGCAATGAGCAATTCAATCAGAACATTTAGACAGTTGTACTTGACACTTGTGCAGCTTCTACATTTGTCGGAAAATTCTAAGTCCGCTTGGTATGCCTTAAAAGGCATTGGAAGGCCTCAATTTGCCAGCGGCATTATGAGGTACTTGGAAGTGCACCCAAACTATGTGTAAGGCCCTTGGAAGGGGCGTAAGGGGTCTTACAAGATAATCCCAAGTCCATCCCAAGTCCATAGCTCTAATTTTAAGGTAAGGCTCTGCAAGCGCATTCCAATGGCATCAAGTGATTCCAAGGTCCTTGATAGTTTAAACTGTTCGTACAATTCATATTAATATAATGCGATAAAATTTTGATAAAATTGCAAAAATGAGCTACAATTAATATCTACATCATATAAAAATGGGCTTGTCCATGGGCTCCAGTACATCCCACCACCGCCACCATTCAAGAAAATGCCGAACTCCAAATGAAAAGGTCGCAGAAGAGCTTGCGGAGGTAAGGACAATCAGGCTTGTTGTCAAAGCAGAGGTCCAGGGTGCGAGCGTGGCGTACTGAAGTGGAGATAAGAATAATCAGGCTTGTTGTCAAAGTGGAGGGCACGAGCGTGGCATGCCAGAAGCCTTTGCAAATGAAAAGGTCACAGAAGAGCTAGTGGAATAATCAGGCCTGTCGTCAAATAGACCCTTTACTGGAGAAGGTATAGGACAAAGACGAGGTTGCAGGGAAGGGGCGAGGGGGAGCGTCGGTGCTGAATGTAGATTGTGTTTGCTTGATAATACCGGGGCGGGTGTTTTGGGAAGCCTCCTGGGAATGCTCGTGTTCGACGGCTCACTGATGGATGAGGTTGGTTGAAGCATTTTGTTTGAAGTCAGGTGCTTCGAGAGATTCAATGGCGCTATGGAAGGATATTATTTTAGATGCTGTGGCGGAGTGAAAGGAGACATACTGGCCCTTCTCCTTGTTGAGTTTGTCGCCCATGTTTTTTGACAGTTTCTTGAACTCGCATTTGGACTTTGCATTGTCGGTGTCGACCATGAGGTTTTGCAAGTGCCAAAGCCACCAAGAAAGATTCTTGAGGCATTGACCCTGCTCGAGATATGAAGCAACTTTGGTGCATACCTATGAAAGGGAAAGGGGTTAGTGAAAAGGGTGAAAGAGATTGAATATATGTAACTACCTTCCATGTTTTTGTGAGTGACTCGGTGTCGCTCAAGTTGCTGAAAGCAACAAAAGACTTGTTACCCTATGCATATGAGTCAGTTGGCATACCAGAAGCCTTTGCAAACAAGAAGGTCGCAAAAGAGCTTACGGAGGTAAGAATAATCAAGCTTGTCGTCAAAGTGTCGACGGATGGCATGAGAAATGACAAGGATTCATGGTGGAAATTTTAAGTAAGTGGCAAGTGCAGTTCAAGATGCTTACATGTGTCTTATTTGGCCTTGTGTGTACTTATCCCCAATTGGAAGGCATTTCGAACGCCAAAGGCAATTGGGATGAACTTGAGGATTTCGACACCGTAGAATACATGGATCCATAATATATTAGATGGTATTTCTGAGTAACAAGATATGAGGGATTCAGAGATTAAACAAAACTTCGAGTGAGGGTACCAATTTATGTGACTATGGATGGACTATCATGACCTTTTCCGTGAAGACTTCCGTGTGTTAGCTTCCGTCAACTCGAAATCATCATCAAGGCCAGCCTTGCCTTTCCCATGTTTGGCCTTGGGTCTGGGTTTAGGCTTGGGCTTCACGGTGGTGTCGACAATTATTGTATCAGTATTGGTGTCATGCTCTGACACTACTTGATCCTGTGTGTCTGAAGCTAGAACTAGATGTTGCATCACAGTAGAGATAGATGCTGAGAGTCCAATTTGAGGTGCAATGGTTGGACTAGTCTCGGTGTTGTCGACGGAAGGCAAAGGTTCATTGGGGTGCAGAGATAGTGCTGGTGGAGCACTGGCATGAAAGACAGGTCCTTCCACCCCATCTTCGAAGGCACATTCAAAATCTTCTTCCCACATGTCAGTCAGGTGGCCTTGTGTAATGTCGTCGTTGATAGTTGTAGAGTTGGAAGTTGAAAAAATTGAGTTATTGAAAAATGCAATAATGTCTTTAGACCACTTGTCTCCGCTCATCAATCATTGATGGTACCAGTTGTGGTACTCGCAATACGGGATATGACTCTCGGCTCCCACCGGAAGGAGGTCCTTGTCACCAGAGAGGAGAAAGATTGCCTGAAAACCGAGTGTGAATGAGTGAAACACTAATGAGACAGTCTATTAAGTAACTTACAATGACAGCTGCTGCTGCTATCATGCCTGGAGTTGTAGTTCACAGCTCCCAGATCTTCTCCTTCGTTTTTCCGGCTGGGATTGACTTCGAAGATAGTGAACTCTTGCCAAAAATTGAGACTCTCAAAATCTGTATTATAATTGTAGTCAGTCATTGTGTGATGCATGTAATTTAGTAAATGAAAGGAAAGACGAACCTGAACAAGCCTGGCTGTCTTTAGAAATGTCTGCGATGATGGATTCTCAGGGTTAGGGAATAGAATCGGTGCAAACTTGGTGTAAGCGTCATTTGGATTCACAAACAAGGTGCGGCATTTGGACTCAGTACTTCGCTTGTAGCCTGCGAGAAAAAATGTCCAAGCTCATGGTAAAGATCGCGCCAGCGCAAGATTTGACATCAGAAACCATTTCGGAGCGAACAGAATTGACGCCTTTTGCAAACTAAGTGAGTTACAATGAGATTCAATGAAGTTTGCGCAAAAAATAGTGACACGTACACTGCGCCCAAAGTTTTTGTGGCTCATCAACTCATGGTCAGTCTCAGGAATGAAGAGGAATAGTTTGGCTTTGACACCATCCTCGATAGCAAGCGGAGAGAGCCAGCGCTCTTTGCTAGAGAGGTCTATATTGGGACAGGTGCGCAAAGGGAACAGGTGCATGTCAATCCATAGACAGTGAGTCATGGAGTACTTGCGTCCATGAGCCTTGATAGTGTCTTCCTTCACTGCTAGGGCAAGTTCATTCGCTGTGAGCTTCTTCTGGCCATGAGAAGCTGAAGTCTCAAGGAGGGCATTCCTCTTCAACAACTCTCTGCACCGGCCGCATGTGTTGAGTAAGAGCTTTTGTGCGATTGCAAGTGCCTTTGGTCAAAAATTGTATTGAGTTAATATAAAGTAGTTAGGCCTGGAAAGACTTACCTGACGGAGCTCTTGAGGAGATGCAGAGTCCAGAAGAGGAGCAATAGCTGTATGAATTTGCGCAAGCTCCTCATCAGAGTCAGACTCCATTGAGTCAGAACCTGAGCTACTGTTGAACGAGTGATCTAGTGCTGAGTCCCGACGCTGAGGCATGGTATTGACAAGAAGATACGAATATGCCTGGACCTGAGACTTCTGAAACAAAGTCGGTTGGCAACAGTGAACTGAAGAGATTCAAATCAACATAATGGACTTTATATTGAATGGGATCCAATCACGCACCAGAACACTGTCTTGTGCACAAATATGTACTTGTACTCATCCTGCATGTATAATAGGTAAAGGTTGTCAGGTAAGCAGCCCTGGCTTGAGGTAAAGATACACGCCTATTGCATTTCCGTCCACAGAAAATGATCAGATTTGAAGTGATGCCAGCGTCTTTGTAACAAAACACGAGTATTTCATTATAAGTCTACTCGTGACCGATGGCTGTAAATAAAGGCGCAACGCACAGATTGGGAGCCTGGTGAATGATTAGCTGTAAAACATTGATGGCCATCAGTACCTGAGGGGTCTGCTTTCTCTGTTTTCCTTCGATGAATGCTTGCAAAGCACTATAATTCGACAGTAAGCGAAAAAAACTCGCTCGTTAGAAAGTACATACCTGAAGTCAATAGGTTCGGCAGCGACCTTCTTCAGGTATACCTGTAGGATTCTGCATGTTGGGGAAGACCCATCTGTTCGAGGTTTGTCAGACATATTAACGTCAAACTGTTGGCAACCAAAGATAGAGATCAGTTATTAGTTCCGACTCGAAGGACTTGACTCTTAGAGTTTGAGAGTCCCTACCGGTCAGTGGGAGCTCATGGGGAGAGTACATCATAACGGCGCTGTCGAAGATACAGCACGGCATGAATAGTTCCGGATCAGTATGGTTCTAGAGCTGTTTGAACACTTCAATTCTCCTGCAGGCGTTCTTCACATCTCTGCTGCCGCCGGAGATCACTGTATTCGAGTGAGGTGATTGTTGGCCATCGGGGTACAGATACTCACCAACTATAAGAAGGTCAACCACTGCGTCATAGTAGTAAGAGTGAAACTTACCTTCATATTGAAAATATCTAGTCTTTGCTGGAGAATTTGGGCTTGAGGAAAAGGGTAATGGGGGTTGCCTGCTTGAGGCTGTCTTTGGCAAGGAGGCTGGTGAATGGGAGATTGCTTTATCGTCGAGAACCTATTAATATAATGATAAGTATCTTATTGTCCAAGAGAACTTTTCAATGCACTTCGTAGGTAACTGATGTCCACATCTTCTTCCTGCTCATCCTCATCCTCATCCTCGCCATTTGGTCCATGGAATCACTTGCATCAAAGACAACATGCATGCAACCATCACTTCTAACCCTGTGCGCCGCCTTTGTCGAAATCTGTGCAAGTTTTGCAGAACAGGGTCCTCATCAGACAGTGGAAGCCTGCGGAAAGAGTATCAGGAAATGAAATACTCATTGCAATAGTGAAGCATGGACATTTTGTACAACTATATTAAAAGGTTTCATTGAGAGTGAAGAAACATGTCAGAATCAACAACATCAACAAGAAAGAAGTCTCAATGAGGATTAGCATAATCTGGAACAACTAAAGCACCACAGATGATTGAATGAATGGAAAGGAACTCCGAAGATGCTGCAGGCCATGCACGCAGCCGAGTGAATTGCAGGTCCTGATCAACAGCGGGCCGTGGGCCAATTGGAGCATCCATTGGAAGTACAAGAGCGAGATCCAAACATTGGTCGCCAACACTGTACTTAAACATAAACAAGATTTGGGCAAATATATTCTTGCTGTTGCCATCCTTGTCATGAGTACGAATAAGTGCGCAGTCATGGCGCTCGTGTCTGTGGAAGTTCGGATTGCAACAGAGATAGTCTGTAGCAAGCTTCCAGTCAATGACGGACTTGTAGTGCACCTTGAGGTAGCGATATTCCTGTAGCTGCAAGAAATATAGTTCAGTCAGTGTCACTGGAAAACAAACAACTTGAACTCACCTTGTCTTGAGCTGCCGGCCTCAACCACGTTTTCCCATCAGGTAATGGTATGTCATGGGCAGGAAGGAATTTGTTGATGAACGTCGAAAACTTCTTCCGAAATTGGTCAAAAGCGCATGACGAGCTATTTGCTTCCTCCACGTCAGCAAAACTGGTGGGGCGTTGGGGAGAACCGAGATAGATATGGCCCTGAAATGACATGCCAATATGTGTGGCATCCTCAGGGTCATCGTTGTCATCTGGATTGTTGTTGTTGTTGTCAGCATCCCTGAGTTCCTGAAGACGCTGTTCATCAAGCTGGGCAATGTGGCCACCAATAAGCTCGAAAACGAGTGTCCTATGATCTATTTGGAGAAGCTAAGTAGATGGTATTAGAACAATAAGAATGTAAATGATTGATAAATAAATCATACCTGATTTGCAATGTCCTTATGGTTCATCTGGTGTAAATACATCTGTTTGAGTGGTCCATGTTGCTTTTCATTGGGATGAGTGCTGAAGTTCCAAGTGGTGCCTTTCTCCCGTATGTCGTGAAATATGTGCTTGCCAGCGTGTACCTTTGGAAAGTTCCAATTCTTGGTCGAATCACCTGCAACTTTGCAATATTCCTGTATTACTGTAATTAGATGAGCAACAGAATAAAATCGTTAGTACGCACGTCCAAACACTTCAGAAATTCCACATAAGCTGCTTCGCCAGCTGCGAGAGTGCTCTCCATTTGAGTGTCGAGCGAGATATACATGTCTACCTTTAGGTAACTTGCAATACAGCGCAAGAGCATGTACCCAGCTTTGCTCTTCTGCTTCGTGAGCACGTTATGAGCAGCAAACAGAAATTGCTATTGAAATAGTTGTATAAGAACGTGAATTTTGTCAACGAGGTAATAAGATGTACCTTGGAAATATCCCGGAATTTGTTCCCATCACTAAAGCTAATGTTTGTGACCCAGCGGAAATGATTGAGACCCCTCCATCGTGGAAAGGCATCAAATCTTCACATGAGATATGAACAAAAGATGCTAATGATGAAAGGAAAGAACTCACTGCTCGTCAATTTGCTTGAGAGCGCTGCACCCAAGAAGTTCTGCAAGACTCTTAGCCTCTTCATGGATGTGGTAACCATATAAACCACCTTGAAAGGTGTGCAAAGGGTCCTGGGAGATTGTCTCATGGGGATTCGAGTTTTCCACTCTCCAGAAGATATTCTAGCGATAATGTCAGTTGATAACATGAGTATGTAAGAGAGACATAAAGAAATATTCCAAGGACGTACTTTAACAGGTCGTAGACCTTGCTCCTTCAGGGCTGCTTCTCCTGTGGCATGGTTCTCATAGAGCTTGACGCGAATTTGTGCATCCTCAACTTTTCGGGTAGGGTACGTCACAGTATGGTCGCGAAGTTTTGATGAAGGGACAAGACAGATGGGACAAGGACAGAGTGAGCCTGTCCCCCATATTAATGCCATCATGCACCTGTTGGAATGTCAATAACTGTAAGCTAGAAGTAGACAGTATACTTACTGTTCTTCATAGTCAGCCGACAATAGCAGAATCAGTGCGTATAACCACCATTCGACATCATCGAAGCATTTATGGGCAAATCCAGTCTTAGAGTAAAGTATGACAACCTCGAGAAACTTTAAGAATGCTTCATGTCAAACGACGCGCTTTAAATTCGTGTAGGAGAGCTTGTGGTCTTCTTCCGCGTCTTCAGGCACCTGTCAAAGAATAACACAAGTCAGTATGATCACAACAAGCAACATTTGAGGTGAAACTGAAACATACAATTGGTAACCAGCCCACAAGGCGATCACCACCTATTCCTGCACAATTTTGAATGCCAACTGGCAGGTTCGTGCACTGGGCAATTACCGGATATCCTTTGACATTGCCAGATGATGACAAGTGCGTCTTGTCTGCATACAAAATGAAGGCAAATGGTACTCCATTGTTAGGTAATGACGACTACAACAAAGTAAATTAATGATACAAGTTAGTTCTGCGTAAGGTAATGAGCAACATTATGTGCATACTTGGATCCTCCACCAATGGTCTGCAGTCCAAGGTTCGTGTATAAATTGTTACCGAGTACCATCATGCTTATACAACTGCTGGGCATTCCATTCAAAATGCGGCGCTAAGATAGGCTCATTGAGCAGGTTCATAGCCCAGTCCCATAACGGCCGTGAATACACATCAAAGTCGAGTTTCCCCTTCTGATAATCTACGGAGCATGTGATCTCCTATGGGCAAAAGCGGTGGATCTCAAGGTCCCCCTTAAGTCAATTGCAACTGTCACTCCTTCCAAGGAGACCATTTTCCCCTACCAGTGCTCAGATGGTAAGCATATTATTTGTTTTCCATTCATTTTGTTTCTGACAATACAATTAAATCTACAGGCATCTCTGCTGTTGTTTCACTCGAGGCATGTAATTTACTCACAGCATCTGATGGAGATCGCGTCTCCACCTGTCCCCTCTGCAAATCAAGGGTGGTCAACATGCGCAATCACATTGGTCAGCACATCCTGCATGCATTGAGTAACACACCAGAAGAGGTTGCTTTGAAAGAACCGGTACATTTTGTTAAATTGCATTTTTAGTTTACATTGATGACTATCTACAAGGTTGGCAACACACTTCCATGTGGCTTTTGTGGGTGTTCCGGATGACCAGAGTGTGCTATCACTGTGCCTGCGAAAGCCACAATGACCTGGGACACCAAGTGTGCGTACCAGCACCAATTCCAATACATGTCTGCCAATGTCGGTTCAAAGAATCAACCATGCCGCAATCTACCATTGAAGTGCGAACTCTGTCATTCTGTTTTTTCTTCAGTACCCGGCAAGACAACAAGAAAGACACCTATTGTCCCAGTCAGTGCTGTTTGGCGCTACAATATACATGAGCACATTTTACAGGAGCACAAGGAATATGTGGTACCGGGACAGAGAGATGCTGGTCTAGTGCTGCCTGTGAATGTTTGGAAGGAGATGAGACTCACGGAGTTGGAGCAGACCACTTTGCGCATCCCAAAGACATGTTGGCAGCCTTCCTATATTCCCCCGGTCGGAATTGGGAAGGAGAACATACCTCTGTTGATTTCTCACAGTTCAAAATGCTCTGCAGCCCAGGCAGGTCCATCTCATCCTTCAAAGAAGGCTTGAGAAACTATTCCGACGGCTCTTTCTGCACTCGGCACTTGATTCATTACTTGATGGCAGACTTATGCCAGTTGTCTACATACTTCATTCATTGTATTGCTGCAACTTGTACATTTTGCTCTGCAATTGTTGAAACGATTCATTTTTTCAAATGACTACCTAATATAGATAAATTGCATGATCAGTTATGCTGTCACGGTAGGCATAGGGGGTACCCAAGTTCTGACAGGTCAGTGTGCTGAACTCTAATTTTTCATGCCTCTTGCTTGAGTCTATTCAGCTCTTATCAACCTCTGAGACTTCAGATCGATTCTGATAGTCTATACTCTATTTGTTTCTAGTTTGGACTTGTCCAGATTAGTCTTATACGTGTTTCTGATATCTGTAAGTCTTCCAGATAATACTACGAGACCCATCTGACCCTCTGGACACATTATTATTAGTCTCTAAAATAAGGAACAGTACTTGGAAAAGGGGCACAGCATACAAGCTAAGGCTGAAGTCCTTTGGATCTGATCCTATGATCCTATGACCTTAACATTGCTGCTTAAGAGGGTCAGGAAAGTGATGCCAGCAGTGTGATTGCAATGCTGACCAAAACTGAATGTGCATCTGAATACAGACAGATTTCTTTAAAGGTCTTGTCTTGGTTGAAGAAGAAAAGCAGATTATACATCAAACTTTCAAGTTTGATCCTAATGACCTAGGGAATGAGGAAGAATACACATCTAAGCTGAGATTCAAGGTAAATATTCAAAGAGCCATCTGACAACTATTAGCTTATGTATAAGGTTGAGGTGCACTGTGTTTGAGACCCTTTCATCATTATGTTGCTCTTCTCTCACTTTTTGAAAGTGTTATATTGCAGTCTGTATTCAATTTGTCTGCTCAGCTGAAGGAAAGCATTGCGAGTGACAGGGAACAATAGACTTGCCTTGCAGATTCACTTTTGAATAAATTCTTTAAACATGCATCCAAATAGTGTTAGTCGAACAGTTGCTACAACAGAATCCAAATCTGTTTTAAATCTGTGTGTGTGAGTTCAAAACCTGCTCAAAATGAAATTCCCAGTGATTATCAGAGTCAAAATCTGTTTCTCTTGGACTGTGCAGGTTTGAAACCTGTCAATGATAATTTCATTTTTTAATGAAACCACACCTTGACATATGCTTATGGTCGGTTTGCTTACAAGCTCATCAGAGTTGTGTTTAGCCAAGTGGTCGTCCTAACAGAATAAACATCTTGGCAATGTTTAATATGCTAGTATTTGAGCCATTTGTGTTCTTTATCCTTTGATACATTAGAACATAGAACTCATTGGCAAGCGCAGGACAGTGCATGTACCATTTAGTATTAACCATTTGTCCTATGGTAGAAATGTCTTACTATCAAATAGAAAATAGTTGGAAGGATAATGAGCAATGTCACCTCTCACCAATGTAGATGAGGACATCGATGACATTGAAGATGTTGAAGACCAAGGTCTTCCCAAGACCCCTGTGGGCTACATGGAATGTGAATAATGAGTGCTATCTCTGGTAGCTGTATTCAATGCTTACATCAATCGGTTACTCATACATAGACAATTCAGTTGAAGGGGCAATCCCTCTAATTGACAATTTCATCTTGAGCCAGTGTGTGTGAGGAATGATAGCTAGATGAGAAGGGGTGAAAGGGGAAGAAAGGGTGAAGTGGGGTAAAACTCAAATAGACCTCTGGATGCGAGTATAGTATTGGCCCGAGGGGATTGCTACTGAGAATGATTCCTCTAAGTAAAATATGCTGAGGGGAACTTGGGAAACTAGTAAGTAAGGTTGAGAAGTGAGGAAACACAAAAGCTGAAGGCGAGCCAATGTGAAGTGATACAAGCCAATGCAATACAATGTGCCAAATGTGCGAGGCAATGCAGAAACATGTGGCCGAAGATACATTTGTGCACTTAGAGAGTGTGGCCAAGCCGATACGTAGAAAGCGTGAAAGCCAATGGACACACAAAAGTACCAATGTATTCAAGTAAGGTGGCCAACAGAAAGACGCACACCAAGATAAGCTGGAGTTTTACTGAATGCTAATGCGGATGTTCTGATTTTGCATGCAGAGTGGTGATAGATTTCAAGTGGGGAAAAAGAGATACATGAACTTCATAAATACAGGATATATATGTATGCGCACCTAAGCGCTATTTGGGACTGAGTAGATAATGATAAGTATGTAAGTAGGGTCTGTGACACATGTAATGAGAATATAAATGAAATAGCTTCAGAAATAAAGTCAGTCTAATACTAATTGAGTATGGTACTCACCAATGAACCAACGGAGGATATGGATAGGACAGACGGAGAACGTGCAAAGGACCCGAAGAAAAGCCGATGCGAGCTGATGACCCGTGGCCGTTGGCCGACAATAAAATACTGCATGCTATGTCAAAAACAATGCAGGACATAATAGAGTCTGAGGGATGGCAAATATGGCCTATACAAGGCTGAAAAGACCATTGGTCTTACACTGGTTTTGAACCCACACAGACAGATTTGGATTCTGTTGCATCAACTGCTTGGCTAAGGCCAGCTAGATGCACTCCTAATGAATCCATTCAGAAGTGTATCCTCCATGTACATATGATAGCTTTTTATTTTTATTCTATGAAATCACACCTTCACATTTCCATGGAAATGTATAGCAAGCAAACACTGATGATCTCAAGCTTGGTTGACATTGCTGTTAGTTTCATGCATCCTTTTTCGCTACAAAAAAGCTCACCAGAGGTGAATGTGAGTATTTTTGACACAGAGTTCAATATATGCCCAATGACATATCCCATATCTCCACACTTCTCTTCTGGACCTTATACCCTAGATTTGATCTGATGTAAAGATCTGCTTCCAATCCAATATATGATAAGCTTCTTTATTCATTTCCTGTTCATATAACATTAACACAGCCTATTCCTCTATTTGGTATTCCTTGTCCCCTGTATCTCAATCATACTTACTTCTGACTATGCTTACTGATCTGTTAACCTATGCTTCATTTCTGACTCATGTTTGATAGACTTTTCTTATGTTTCATACATAGCCTCAGACCCTTGCTTATGTCGGAAATTTCCCACCACTATTGTAATAGCAGGTCATTAAAATAAATATAATATTAAAATTGTAATGGTACCTCGCATCATTGCAAGGTATTGTAATGCTTTGTACATGTTTGTCAAGCAGTTGCGATGAAATTCAGATGTGACCAATATAGATTAAATGTTGTTGTTTCTCATTTGAGTTGGTTGAATGGATTAGTAAGTATTACACCTTAGAGCTGCTTCTAGTACTCATGAATTAAACTATTAATACAGGGACCAACATGGCAGAGATGGCCCAATGTGACCTCTGTAGTAAATCTTTCAAGCTGCATGGTTTCAAGACACATTGCACCGCCTGTGCAAAATGTGCAAGGGACTTTGAGGAGGACTGGAATCACATTGTGAACACTTATCATGGACCTTCAGGTGCGTTCATTCTCATTCAGTCTTAATAAGATCCCTGGACATATTAATGTACACTCAACTATAGTAAATATACCAATTGATGCACACCATGGAGCCGACGAGTCAAATCAGCCTGAGGCAGAGCGTTCGAATGCGCACATTTCAGATGAGCCAGTCGTAGATGTTGACCAGTGGATGGATCTTAAGGAGGAAGGTGAGCCAAAAAATACCATCCTTATCTTCGACGTTATAACTAGCTGCCATTTGATAGATATTTTTCGCATACCTTCATCACATGAACCATCTGTAGATGGCTCAGAACATTGACACAATGTTGATGACATTCGGACCAAGTATCACCCTAACTCTGGAATCCTGGCACAGACACGAACATTCTCGACGTTTCAGCGCGACCTTTTGCAAGACCCACCAACTCCTGATGCACAACCTTGGGCGCCATTTTGATGTTGGCTGGACTTTGAGGTAGCTGAACTTGCTCATGAAGCCGCTCTCAGCCAGCCTCAAATTGAGCAGCTAATCGACCTTTTGCATCACTCGAAGCAGGAACCTTTCAGCCTGTGCAACTACAAAGATATTCAGAACATGTGGAGTGCTATTTCCCATCGTCTAACACCAGTAAGGTCATCTCTATTTTTCATTTTAACTTGTCTGACAAGTGTGTTTTGATAGTTTCAAAAGTGAACAATTCGAGTGCCTTACGATGGAGTTGATCAAGAATTCACTCTCTACTACCGGGACTTATGGGACTGGGTGTGTGACCTTCTTTGCAATCCTTATCTTGGCCCTCAATTTACCTTTGATGCTCAACACCTGTCAAAGTTTGACGGTAATACATTTGTGAGATTTATTGATGAGCCTTGGACTGCGGATGCTTTTTGGGAGGCTCAGGTATGTGTCGAGCAGTGCACCATTAGTTGAAGTGACTCAGTGTAATACATCCAGTCGGCTATGCCTAGCCATGCAAAGCCTCTCACATTCATCCTCTACGCAGATAAGACAAAATTGTCTTCCTTTGGTCGTGAAAAAGGCTACCCTGTGATTGCCCATATTGCAAACCTCCCCGCATCCATCCGAAACAGTGAAGGCGTTGGTGGTGGTTGAGTCATCGCCTGGCTCCCCATTGTATTGTGATTCTATCTCATCTCATTTTTGTTTAACTAACATTGATTTTTTTAAGGTCAAAGATGATCCCTCGAGGTTGGGAAAACAGAAATTTGCGGATTTCAAAGCTGTGGTTTGGCACAAGTCCTTCAAGTGAATACTCAAATGTCTTAGATCAAAGAGGAAACATGGTGGGTGGGTGAAGTGTTGGGATGAACTTCAACACCTTATGTTCCCTATCGTTCCGATCTTGTCTGTGGACTATGAGGAACAGTGTGTACAGTCTGGAGTGTTATCTATCATTGTTGCTAACATGTAATGTCTGCAGATGCATTATGTCCCTGATCTGTGGAGTCATGGGCAAATTTCCATGTCCAATTTGTTTGGTTCCGTGCGCTGAGTTGCATAACCTGTTGGAGACCTGGCCACTTCGCACACATCACAATGCTGCTCACTTGCTCAGGAAGGCAAGAAGGAAGTACACCAAGGCAAAGCGAGAGAAGACGCTGAAGTCTCAGTCATTGAGAGATGTCGAAGTAAGTCTTATTTGAATCCCATATTTCTGGAATCAAGTTCATAGCGTAACTCAACAGAACTCTCTCAATCTATCAAAGCTTCTGGACGTCTTTTGTGCCCTTTGTTTTGACCGCTGTAGAGACTCATGCCTCTCATGGTGTGATATGGCAGTTTCCACCAAGGAGTACATAGCATGAACTTGTAGCGTCACTCCGTGCGCTACCCACAGCTATCCCTATATGAGGCGCAGCTTTCCTGCGCAATGCGCGCACCCTTCCCGCACTTCACGATGTATATACGCGCGTGCTTTCCCGCGCTTGAGCGCCCTATAGCACCAGCCATCCACTGTCCTCCAAGTTCTCTAGTGTGTATATTTCTGTTTCTCTCATTTGTATATTGTTCCACTTTATTTTTATCATGGACCCTTACTTATACATATCTCTACATACCTACTCGGTAGCGCTTCGGCTCCGCATTACAGCGCTTAGGCACGCTATATAAGCGCCAGCAGTACATACTACTCCTCACACTACTTTTTACCACTGAACTTCACCTCTCACTTTACTTACTACTTACTAACCTAGAAAGTCACAGTAGAAATCTATTCCTCTACACTTCGCATCTCTCTTCACTTATCTTGCATTATATTATCACTTAAGCTTAGTCTCTATTGTTTCCGCATATGCACACGCGGTTTCCCGTGCTTCGCGCCAATACGCGCACATGTTCCCGCGGCTCGCTTCAGTGCGTACCTCTAGATCTTCGCTGCACTTGCTTCCCCTTTAAGGTCGAATGCACTTGTCTCCTCAAGT